CTCTTCGGGCCTCCACCAGTCCAACCCCCTTCATATACACGTATACTATATACATACAGACACATATACATACACATAAATAAATAATAAAATAAATCTTTAAAAAACAAATACATTTCCTGGTCTTTAGCTTTTAATACCTGAAGGTTCTTGTGTCATATAAAGCTTGGAAAATATTGAATCTGTTTCACTTTTCTCTTGCTCTCCTGGCTTCTGCCATCCTTATGAGGGGGGTCACAGCCTTGCTGCCTCCACCATCTTTGTCAGCAAATCAAGATTCTGGGATGATGGTGGTTCCACAAGGTCATATCACTGTAATAAGAAGCTCTGGGGTCCTTCTTCACTTCAGCCTCATTTTCAAGTGCATGTTTTTAGGTTATCTTACCCTCTGACTGAAAACCCTCCCCTGGTTGGTTTTACCATCCAATGAAACCAAGATGTGGTTGGATGTGGGTGATGTTCCCCAGGGAAAGAACTCAAATCTCCTGTAGATGACAAGCGGCCTATAAAGTAAACTAAAGGATTGTTTTTGTTTTCTTCCCAGAACATTAACTCTTCTTTTACACCTTTTATCCCAGTCTGTTTTCCACGACCAAAATTAACTTGGGAAGGAAAGGGTTCATTCAGCTTACAGGTTAGATAGAGTCTGTGAGTCTATCATCAAGCCAAGGAACTCAAGGCAGGAAACCCGAGGGACAAACTGCAGCTGAGGCCATGAAGGAATGCTGCTTTCTGGTTTGTTCTCCACTGTTTGCTCAGCCTGCTTCATCCTACCTACCAAGAACACCTGCTCAGGGGTAGCACAGCACCACCGAAAGCCCTTCTTGGGCCCTCTCACATCAACCTTAGTCAAGAGCATGCTCCACCGACTTGCCTACAGGACAATCTGACTAAGACATTTTTCTCAGTTGAGATTCCCTCTTCCCAGATGACCCTAGCTTGTGTTGAGTCAACCAAATCTAACAAGAGCAACTTACAATCTCTCCTTTAGAGTTCCATAGATACACAATGTTCTTTGGCAGTTGGAAGGGAGAAATGTTGCTTATTTAAGAGAAAGAGAGAATTCTGCTAGCTAAAGTGGAGCCTGTCCACTGTATCTTTTACTTTACCAAGAAGTTTGTTAGAATGGCCGAAACCTACCCACAACCTTCCAGAATCAGAATAATGAAAACCACACATGTGCACATCTACTTTAAGGCTCAACTCTCACCATATAAGAGATAGCACTTATAATCAGATCTGGGTTCATACTCTAGGCCTTGCTTTTGACAAATGGAGACCTTGAGACGGTTTCTTAATTCCTCTGAGATTTCTATCCTTTTAACTAAAACCTAGATAGATGATTCTCTTTGATCAGCCTTGGAGAAGTGAGTTCAATTTTACTTCCATGCCTATACCCAGAAATCTAGGACCTGTACATCCTTTATTCCATCTATTTTGCCCTTTAAAAATGTTCTTTTAAAAATGTGCACACTATAGAATCTGTTCTGAGAGGAAGAAGATGCTTTGTCACACTAAGCACAGCCATTGGGTCCGTGTTTTTCAATATTGGAATCACTTGCTGAGCGTGGCCACTTACAAGTAACTAAATAAACCAGAAAAATTCAGTTTCATAGTCATGCTAGCCACACTATCAGTGCTCAGTAGCTACAAGTAGCTGGTGACTGGGGTGAAGACATCACTGAGACAGAATATTTCATCTTGTGGAGAGTTCTAGTGACTAATATGACCTTAGGTACCTGCGATATTGCCTGTGCTTTTGCTAAGCCATGGCTAGCTGTGTACTTGTACACAGTAAGAAATCAGTAAGAGTTTCATGTCTTAAATGCTGTGGCTTCATATATAGAAATTAGAAATGGCATGCAAATCTCAAAGCTTGTTTTCCAATTCCCAGTCTGCTTACCTTGAGTAGGTTATTTGCATTCTATGACCTTTAGTTTTACCTTCTACATTTTTTAAAAAACTTTTTATTCTTTAATCATTTTTTGCAGTCCAGTTGTTATCTCTCTCCTGATCTGCCCTCTGACTGTTCCTTATCCCAAAACCTCCTCCCCTCACCCCACCTCCCATCCTCACCCCTGTCTCTGAAAGGATGTCCCCAATCCACCTCCAACCCCCACCCCACCAGGTCTCCCCACTCCCTGAGGTCTCTGGTCTCTTAAGGGTTAGGTGCATCTTCTCTCACTGAGGCCAGAGCAGGCATTCTTCTGCTGTATATTTGTTCAGGGCCTCATATCAGCTGGTGCATACTTCCTGGTTGATGTTTCATTGTCTGAGAGATCTCAGGGGTCCAGGTTAGTTGAGACTGCTGGTCTTCCTATGGTATCATCCTCTTCCTCAGCTTCTTCTAGCATTTTCCTAATTCAACCCCAGGGGTTCCTGGCTTCTGTCCATTGGTTGGGTGTAAGTATCTGCATCTGACTCTTTCAGCTGCTTGTTGGGCCTCTTAGAGGGTAGCCATGCTAGACTCCTGTCTATAAGCACACCATAGCATAAAAATAGTGTCAGACCTTCTAAAATTTAAAAGTGACAAAGCAATAATATCTTGTATTAAGTACTTTTTATTTATTTTGAGAGTTGCATTAACTTTATATCCTATAGAAAAACCAGTTCCTTCCCCCCACCCCGGACTCTACCATATTCCTGTATCCCAGATTGGCCATTCCTACTCTTTGTGTAGTAGATAGTAACCTGGAACTCCTGATACTCCTGCTTCTATCTTCTGCGTTCTAAGATTATGGGCATGAGCCAGCAAGCCCAGTTTATGAAATAATACGGATCAAACCCAAGGCCTTGGGCACGCTAGGCAAGCATTCTGCCAACTGAGCTACATTCCTACCCTGATGATTCCAGCTCTAAATCTGAAAGTTTCAAAACTCAGGAGCCAGTTTTCTGATAGGCAGACAATGACACTTGGTCAGTCTACTGATGGGTTCCTTCTAGTTATAAAATGGTCCTATATAACCCTGAGAATGGGGTAGGGGCAGGATTTCCCATACTATTACAAACAGCAGGGAAGTATGGAAGAGTTCAGACACTGGAATCAGCTATACACCTGGGCCTCTCATTTCTCTGAGATCCCGTTTCCCTCTTGTCAAAACCCAAGTACTCTAGATTAAGTTGTTAGTTCATGTGCCATGATGTTTAACCTAATGAAGCTTTGCACAATGTGAGCACTCAGAACCATGTTAAGTTGGGAGATTCTGAAGCTAGTAGGGTCACCCATTAGGGAGCCTGGGATTAGAACATTTACCACTAATGCACTTGCCAAAGGCAGGTACTTGCCTAAGAGCCATCCAGTTCCTCATTACAACTCCCGCAATCTTAGCCACAGACTTGTGCCTAATAAACAATGAGAAGACTGGTTAGAGAGTGTGTGTCACCTCTCCTGCCCTTGCTGGGATAAAGTGACTGACACAGCAAGTTTACTAACACACAAACTAATCCTCATTGCCAAAGTAGGCTCTTGGCAGTGCTCTGTTAAGAAAGAAAGAGAGGGGGAGATGGAAGAAAAAAGAAATTGCCCCGTGTTGCTGAGACAGCTCTCTATTTAGACAATTAAATCTGGAAAAGCAAGACAGTTCCTGTAATCACCTCCCACACCCCCTACTCAGAGAACAAAAGGTTTTGTTGAAAGTATTCATGTGGATATTAATACCGACACTTTAATGAGCCCCTCAGCAAACTCATCAGGAGGAGTTACAAGCAGCCATGCTGCTGCCGTGGGAAGGGTACAAAGGCAAATCTCCAAACACTAGTTACTTGCATGTTAACCCCACAGTCACGTAGCTGCCTACACCTCATGGCTAATTCACAAATATTCCTTGACACTCCTGTGGCTAAAGGAGGCAGATCACTGGGGAAAGTACAGAGAAGAAAATGTTTGCATTTATGAAAGGCCTTCACATCTGAGGAGAGTTTTGAGGCAACTGGGGTTATTATAGGTCAATGGATGGGTTAAAGGCGGCAGAATTTCTAGTACTGCCCAACTCTAGTAGTGTGCTAGGTGGGACTGTGGGCATTGTCTCTATCCTATCAGGCTGAATCTTCACTTGAGTCCCAGGGGGAAGGGATATATTTGTGATGCCTATTGTACAGTAGAGGAAACTGAGGTCACAGTCTGGGAAGGACTTTGTCTAATCTCATTGACTAAAATGGTAGAACCAGAGATTTGAATCCAGGCTCTATGTAAGACTTGGATATACATATATTATATGCCTCCTTAGTTACTATATATAACTATCCTTAGTCATTTTATACATTTGTCTTTCTGTGTGTGTGTGTGTGTGTGTGTGTATGCATGTGTGTTTGAGTGTGTATGTTTTACCTCCTTTTGGAAAAGTTCACATAAGAGAGCAGAGCTCAATTCCCAGGCCTACTACTGTTCTAGCTGTTCCCCCTTTTCTTCTTTCTACATGTTGATTTAAACAGATAACATGGTCTATGAGTGACCAACAATGACAGAAAATGGATTCATAAATGTGAATGGGAGACTGTAGTCCCAGGCGCTCCGGACAATAGTCCCAGGCACTCCGGACAGGTATTTAGGCAGATTATAAATTCAAAGCCATTCTAGACAATTTAATGAGATCCTGTCTCAATATAAAAAGCACAAAAGGACTGGGGATGCAGCGCAGAGGTAGAAGACTTGTCAAGAATGCACAAGGCTATAGATTCAATTTCCAGTATGGTAGGAGGGGCGGAAAGGAAAAAAGAAAGCGGACATGGTTTGATTCCTTGTTCTCACGCTTAATTACCAGCTACAAAATGAAGCTATCTGTGACTCAGTTTTCTTACCTTTAAAATGGGGGTAATGTTCCTTATCTCACTACTGAGTTACCATGAGGAACTCAATAAACTACCTAACCCGCTCCCCTCAACTCTCCTTTCATACTGCCTGGTTTAGTCCTTCAAACAACTTATTAAATACAATAGTCTTATTCTAGTAAGGAGGAATCAGAGACTGAGAGGGTGACATACAAAAGCTGCAGATTTCTCAGCAAGCCAATGTCTTCAGCAGAATCCAAATGCAGATGGGTCTTTCTCCAAAGACTGAGCCTGTCCATTATGGGTAAACAGGAAAGGGCAAGGCTGAGGGAATCCGAATGGACTGAGAGCTTTTCAGTCTTCTTTGGCTGTTTCACTGGAGGGCTGTTGAGAAAATTATCCCAATCATGTTAATGAGCAATTGAGTGTGGACTTTCTCTGGGGGAAACATAGCCAACAAAAGCTCTGGTTGGGGCTGGCAGCCAAGAGCTGAGAGTTATCACAGCTGGTACTACCGAAGGGCTCTCGGCTGGAATAATCAACCCAATTGCCTCCCCACAGGAGTGAACTGGGGCTCATAAATTGTAACCATATAGCTTATGGAAAAATGGCTCTTGCATTCCCTGGTGAAGTATTTTCAAGACCATCTGGTGCTGAGTAGTATCCTTACAAACTCTAAGTGTGTACTAGTCCAGGGAAGGCATATGCCAAAGCTTTGATGTTGGTTTAGCAGAGTCAGGTCTGAATCCAGCCCCCATCAGAGCTGAGCATGGGCCACGGGATATAGTCGTTAACAACCCTGAGTCTGGGCTCTTCTTGCACAAGAAGGAGTTAACTGGATTTAGGTCACAATAAAGGGGCTGAGCGGGTTAAAAAAAAAAAAAAGAAAAGAAAGATGTTTGGTTTTTATTCATTTGCTTGCTTCCTTGCTTGCTTGCATTTGGTGCTGAGGATGACCAAGAGCTATAAATGTACTGAGCATGTGCTGTATAGCCGCAGTCCCCACCATTAACACAAGTTCTTAATAAAGGGCCTGGCACACAATAGCCATTCCCGTACTTGAGTGTTGTTCTGCTAGAAGAGATCTCTCTGGGGAAGGGAATGGAGAGAGAAAGGTCGTTCTCACAGAAAAGTGAATTGATTGGCATTTCCCTGCTGGGAAGTGACAGATTCCTGACTCAAAGCCTGGTGATTTGAGTAAGCAAATCTTATTTTTCCGTGGTGGCATGGGTCTACTTTCATCAGCTTAGTGTCCTTCTCACCCACTACTCCTACTCTACAGAAGTCTGTTTCCTCTTTTTCTTCTTACCCACACAATCCCTTTATTAAGTACTTCCACTATCTCATTTAACAATCTCAATAAATGAGCAGTTTCATGTGACCTTCAACAACTCATTTGATAGATGCAACTGCCACCCCCATTTTATAGATGAGTTATAGTAGCAAGCTAGGGGTCATTTAGTAAAAGGGTACAGGAGAATCAAGACTTCAGGCCTGGCATGACTGATTCCAATATTTTTAGTGATATTGTGGTCAAGGATGCATTGCTAGATTGCCCTGAAAGCATTTAGGTCACTAGGCTGGGTTGCTAGTCTCTTTAGAAACTCAGTCATTGCTTCTTGGAATTATGCATTCTTCCAGCTGCATCGCCAACAGATTCATGAACGCTTCATTGCAAAGTCACCGATTATCCTTTCTAAGCCTCTGTAGGTTGCAAAAACCACTGAAGTTACCAAGCTGACTTGTAGTTCCCCCGACTGCCCAGCCAGTCTCTCTTCCCTCACATTGTTGAGTCCTGGCCTTCTCCTCCGCTAGCCCAGCACTTGGTAGGTCGGTACTGTGGTCTTGCAAATATGGGGTTGAGTTTACATCACAAGTTCTTTTCACTGGGTCAAGTTTGAACTCATTAGCATGGCAGTCTAAGTTCGTTGTTAGCTCAATTTCTTTTGGGCATCTGTTCTTGCTGATTTGTCTAGTGCCTTCTGCAAAGTTCCCCTGTGTCTTTTTTACTTAGAACTTTCTACTTCTTCTAGAACCAAATGCCATTTCATTGTCTAGGAGTTTGCTTATCACCCATGAGATCGGTCTCACATCTTCCCCAACTGAGCTCAGTGATGATGCCAGTCTTAGCATTTATCATACTATATTGTTTTGCAATGAGGTTGTGAGCTTTGGAGGAGATGAGGAAATTGTCTTAACCAATATCTAACATAGTGGTCAACCCCTAGACTGTCTTATCCTTCTAGTCATTGCTCAAAAGTAACATGTGCTGAGACCAATAGATCTATCTTAATGAGTCTCCTCCCATAGCTCACCATCCCAGCACCCAGTCAGCTCTTCAGCAATCAGCTACACTGTACTGAGGAGATAGTCAAAGCTCTTCTCATCTTTCTCTACAACCGGCTAGCTGAGTGGCAGTGGCCACAGGCTAAAACTTAATGCCAGGCTGCCTATTTGGGATTTCACTCCTCCCTAGGGACTCAGACACCACCTTGACTCCCAAGGCAATGTCCATGTCTCTGGCTGTCTTGTGAGCTGTGTGATAAACTCTGACTTTGTTATCACCTTGGTGAATGTCACACTTCCACACTGTTAATCTTTCTCCTGTTGGGTTTGTGATCCATGTCCAGTCAACAACCTAAGTCTCAGATTCTTGGGCTGCAAAAGCAGACCATAATAATCACTTGTTCAGGTTGTTGAGAGTAGAACACCAATAATAAAATGATACATGGTGGCGGGGGGGGGGGCTAGAGAGATAGCTCAGCAGTTAAGAACACCGGTTACTGTTGCAGAGGATCCAGGTGTGATTACCTGCCCCTACATGGTCACTCACAACCATCTCAAACTCCTATTCTAGGAGATAGAATGCCTCTGGGCTCTGAGGGCCCTGTACTCATGTGCTATACCCACACACAGATACACATGTATGCACATAATTAGAAACTAATAAAACGTCCTTAACGAACATATTATTTTAGAATAATATTAATGTGACAGGAATAGGATGAACATAGCACACAACTATTGTTAATTACTACTATCCTATAGCTGTAACAGTTCTAAGAACAAGATCCTAGAGAGCTCCTCCGCCCCCAACCCCAGTGCCCCAGCACCAACCCAGACTCCTGAGACCAGACACCAATTATTCTGTGTTTCATATCACACAGAAGGGTAAATGCCTATCTCTCTCATTCTCAACTTGTCAGGCATAAGGTCAGGATGTCTGCCTTATCCTATTACTCTTCACTGAGTACAGTGGTTACTGTGTAATATATGCTCAGTACATTTCTTTATCATACTTTGGATTTTAATATGTAATGCCCTCTCTTAGTTACTGTTCTGTTGCTGTGAAGAGTCACTGTCTTAGTTAGGGTTTTACTGTTGTGAAGAAACACCATGACCATGGCAACTCTTATAAAGAAAAATATTTATTTTGGGTTGACTTACAGTTTCAGAGGTTCGGTTCATTATCGTCTTGGCAAGAAGCATGGTGCTGGAAACAAAACAGAAAGTTGTATGTCTTGATCCAAAGGCAGCAAAGAGGAGACTGTATTCCACATTGGGCAGAGCTTGAGCATAAAAGTCTGCCTCCATAGTGACACACTTTCTCCAACAAGGCCATACTTACTCCAACAAGGACATACCTTCTAATATGCTACTCCCTATGTGCCAAGCGTTCACACACATGAGTCTATGGGGCCATATCTATCTAAACCACCACAGGTGCCATGACCAAAGCAGCTCATAAAAGAAAGCATTTAACTGGAAACTTGCTTACAGTTTGAAAGAGTTAGTCCATAGTCATCATGTCATGAAGCATTGCAGCAGAATGGTAAAGCATAGTATGGACTTTTTCAATCTCGAAGCTTACCGGTAGTGACATGCCTCCCAATAAGACCACACTTCCTAATCTTTCCCAGTGTCACCAACTTGGAACCAAGTATTTAAACATGAGACTATGGGGGCCATTTTCATTCAAACCAGCACATGCCCTCAGTGAACTCCAATTGATAAAGCAGATTTGGAGGCACGGAGATGCTGCATACCCAAGATCACACTAGGGCATCAGCAGCCCACTTTGTTCATTCAGCCTGACGAGCACCAGGAGGCTCTTCCTCTCTGCAGCTTCAGGAAAACAAGAGAATTCCCATTGGACAGCACTATTCACAGGCAGGGGTCGAGCCCATTTTACATAATCAGTCACACAAAAAATATATCAAGCTCACATAAAATAAAATGATTTAAACTTTTTAAAAATTATAAGATGATTCCCAAGTCCCAATTCAAAGCAGGGTAGCTCCAGGTGGTCATGACCCACTACTCTCATCAGCCATGTGGATGTACCCCTTACACAGAGCAGTAGCTCATCTCTGTCGGTCTGGGTTCTCTCTGAGTCAAGCCCTGTCTCTATACCTCACTCCTAAAAAGCGTCTTTTCCCTCAGAATCCTCACAGCTGGGGCATTGGGGTTGTGTCAGTTCTATTCTACCAGTATCTGTTAAATAACAGTAAAATGCATGTGTAAAAGTATGTGTCATTTAGAATAGCCACCCTAGTCATTTTCTTTCTTATGTCAAGCATGTACTCTGGGCCTGTGTAATCAGAATAAACAGAGGGCCTGCTCTTGTCTTGATGCAATCAGACCGGAAAACAGAAGCATGAAAGAGCAATTCTAATGCTGCTGTCTTATTCCTACAGGACTGCATTTGTTTGCAGTGCTGAGGATCAAACTCAAGGCCTCACGCATGTGACACTTGCATTGTGTGTGTGTGTGTGTGTGTGTGTGTGTGTGTGTGTGTGTGTGTGTGTGTGTTTACAGGCAGGGGTGGAGCCCATTTTATCCAATCAGTCACACACAAAAAATATATCAAGCTCAAATAAAATAAAATGATTTAAACTTTTTAAAAATTATAAGATTATTCCCAAGTTTCTATGCTCCAAGACATGTACTATCAAATAAAAATATGGCCACTACCAGAGTTGGAAAAAAAAAAAAGCAAAGTTAGTTTACTTTTTGTCAGGCAGAAGAAAGTCACATCATCCAATAAACCAGGTTAGCTGGTGCCCTGGGGCAGTAGTTGAAAGACCTATGTGATAAGGGAAAAGAAAATGAGATTACTACATAAAGCAAGGTTTTTGGTTCAAGTCTCCACAGTTAGCATATGTCTTAGTTTCTTTTGTCAATGCTCTGGCAAAATACCTGTCAGGAGCAACATGAAGAAGAACAGCTTGGTTTAGATGATGGTTGAAAGGGATGCAGTCAATTCTGGTGGAGAAATCATAGCAAGGAAGGGAAGCAACTGGGTACATTACAGCTCTTTACTCAGGAAGAAGAAAGACAAATGCTGGTCAGCTCATTTTCTCCCTTTTCCCTTTTTATTCACTCTAGGACCCCAGTCCATGGGTCAGAGCCATCCATATTCAGGCTAAATTTTCCCTCCCCAGTTAATCTCTCTGTATCCAATTAAGTGAAGATTAGTCATCACAGTTAATAAGTAGATCATATCTTCTTTGTTATTATACCAAGCTGGCCAAAATCCCAAGAGAGTTCCCAAGGAAGTCCACAGTACTCACATCAAGTCTCTGGTATATCCAGGGTCTAGGAGAGGTGATTTCCTATGAAGATAGCTCAGATTGGCAATGACTTGAAACAGTTTGTTTCCTACCTCCAATTTATAGATGGGAACTGTAAGAATATCAGATATGGCTCTTTTCTAGCAAATACTATAAAACTTGTGTTTAGGACAAGAAATTCAAAATCATTTTATCTTTCCCACCTTGTAAGACTTTTGCACAAATGTTTTTAATCCTCCCACCCAGTGAAACCTTTGTTTACACAGAGGCCCACTGCTTCAGTCTAGGAATTTGCTACTAGGCACAGTAACCTTTTTTTCCTAAGAAGAGTTCCCCCTTCCCCCTTCTTCCACTTCCTGTGTGCCAATTATTTTCGGACTCTGAATAAGATTTCGAGATGGGACCCCAGTCAATGGGGAAAAGACACAGCTATCACCTGAGTTAGAATAAAAGCCAAGTGCTCTTCCTGAGAACACGCTCTTGATCAAGAGTAAAGTTTGCTTTCTCCAGATATTTCAGCTGGAGTAGCAGCCCCTTTGCAACTGCATACTTATTTCTAGCAGAACTCAAATCTAGCCTCTGTCAGTCAGACAGGAAGTGACAAAGATACACATTGGTTTCAAAGTCCCAAGATACCCTTCCCCACCCTCTTGGGTGACCAAATTTTATTGAAAGCCTCAAAGATTAAGTAGGACAAAGGGTGAGTCTGGGTACCACAGCAGTAAAGCTCGGATAAGTATGTCATTCTCAACACAAACCGGATAAAATTCAGATTCTCTGGAAGCTGCACCAAGTGATGCAAATGAAACTTATCATTTCATCATATCCTTTCTTAAGGACATAACAAGGGGAATTCACAGAGCAAGGATATGCAAAACCTAATGAAAACACAATTCTCTTAAATCTTTCAAACTTCTCTTTTTAGAGCTCACTTGAAATGATAGTATGACTTCAGAGGATATATTTTTTTTAAACAAATGCAAACTGTATTAGCATTGGCTTAATCCACCCAGCATGATATTAACAGTAACCAAAAATAATACAGCTTTTCAACTAGAATCAGATTGAAAGTGTGAAATTGAGTACTAAAAAGACTTTCTTTACAATGAAAACCTTAAGTATCAGTATGTATAGTGAAGGAAGGAAATTTTTCATTGCGTTTTCCCATTAGTATTAAAGATATAAACCATAACATCTTTAAAAATAAAATACCTACATAAAAAATTTTAATAAGAAACATTCAAGTGGGAAATTGGAGAACATTAATCAAGAGATTTGCTGGGCCAATAATGTTTTAATTTAGGATTATTCAAACATTTGATTATGTGCCCCCACTTACAGAGTCAACGATGTCTTAATTTTGATCTCCCCAGTAAACTGTAATGCTTCTCTGAGAAGGAAACATGATGAACTATACTGACCACTGATTGGTCCTTTGGGGGAAAACTTAAATGAGATAAACACAAAATTACCAAATGAAAGCTTTCTTTCCAAAAGAATACTGTATCTACTTACTGAAGCTCAGGGATCCAGAGTAAACAGTAAAAGCCCTGGGATGTTGTGCTCACCACACAGAACCTCAGCTACACTGCTGAACCCACCTGCTGGGTACTTCGTTGAGATTCCTCCTATAAACATCTAATACAAGTGAAACAAGACTAAATGCATTTAGGGTGTAACTAGCTTTATGAAAACAGAGTTGCCAATAAAGCATGCGCGCACACACACACACACACACGGATGAAGAAAGAAAGAAAGAAAGAAAGAAAGAAAGAAAGAAAGAAAGAAAGAAAGAAGGAGG